AGACCTGAAGTCACTTCCCCCTCCAGTCTGCGGTTTGATTATAAGAACACTAACACCGTACACAGAACTGGAAGAGAATACCATACTGGAGAGACCTGCAGACATTACCTGCTTCTTGGGTCAGAGAATTATTTATTTATGTACATTCTTAGCACCTCCTTGAAAGGAAAAGTCAGACAGGAAGTCTTAGAAGTGATGAATCCAAACCCCACACAGTTGCAAGTCCCTAGCAAATGTGGAGCTAAGGTTCTCGCTAGATGGCTGCATCTGGCCGCAGCACAGTTCTCTGGCTAGCTCAGAGGAAGAGCCAAAATGTTAAGGAGCCCTTCTTGCGTTACAGTCTCAGGCTGAATCTAGTTTCCTCAAGACTCTGTGTTTAACCCAAGGGTATGAAGTTCACCTCGAGAATAAAACTTTGTTTACCAAAGAATAGAATTCTGATGGATTTTGGCTTCAGGTGTTCCCTTGAGAGCTCATTTAACTATTTCTTACTGAATTCAATTTTATCTGGTAGCAGAACCCACTCAGTACAGACGTGGGTGATCCTGTAACTAGAGGCAAAGGTTAAGGGTTAACTGTAACCTCAGGTGGGCTTGTGGTCCACCAGAACTGAAGACTAGAGAATACCAAAGGATTTAGAGTGGGAATGTACAAGTTGCTATTTTTCTATACTTTCTACTTTTCTGTACTTCCCTTAGTATGTTAAAGATGTATGTGACTTAGAAATCCAATCTGGTAGCACCCTGACAAGAAATGATAGAACAATAGGTTAGGAATAGGAATCTGTACATTCCCAGAACTGGTAGGGAATGCAGTGAATCTCCAAAGCAAAATTCCACTAGGACACAGTATTATGATGTCTCTCTGTTAGGAAATGCTAATGTGTTTTCCTTAATGAATTAAAACTCCAAACTTCTAGAGTTTGCACAGAAACGAAACTCTTCTGTGGGCTTGGGTAACTAGACTCAATATGGGCAAAAGATTCTTGGCTTGCTTCTTCATGTAAAGCTGACTCAGGTCAAGAACATTTTAAATAGACTTTTCTGGGGACTAGACACTTGAAGAATGAAATGCCGTAGGGCCAGGTCATTTGCAGCTGGAATGTGTACTGCTGTGGCCTCAGTGCCTCTGCTGTGGTGCCCTAAGAGGAAGAGCGAGTGCCAGCCTGTGTTCTTGAAGTCTGCCCCTGGGTGGGCCTGCCTCCTCCTAGATGAACCTTCTTAACAGCCACAGCTAGGGACACTTTTCCAGACAATCAGCGTTCTCGGGGTCCAAACCAAGATGTTTTGCATCCAGTGATCTCTACTCTTCGAATTTCTGATTAATGCCGAGCGCTGCATTAAACACTTTAAGTTCTTAACCTCATTTAAATATCTTATAAGGTGTGTGTTACAGACCACATTTTATAGAGAAGAAAACTGAAGTTCAAAAGGTTTAAGGCGTTTTGGTTTTTGGTTTTTGGTTTTTGGTTTTTTGCCCAAAGTGACAGAACTAATTAAGTGACGCGGCTGGGCGACAACTGTAGTCCTGTTAGACTCGAAAGCACACTCTTCAAAACTCCATAGTGCCTTTCAATTTTAGAGTGCTCTCCTTGGAGTCTTTAGGTTTCATTTCATTAAAGAAGAAAGAATCTCTTTTCACCCACAATATTATAGCTTCTGGAAACTTCTCCCTCGAAACATCCTGTTGTGAACTGTGTTCCGGGATCCTGCCCCCGTCGGGGACGAGGAGGCAACTAACCCGGGGAAGGGAGGAGCACATTAGAAACAGACGGTTACATGAGGGCTCACGTGGACAGCATTCATCCCCCTCAGAAATGGCCAATCTGTTGCATATGTGCCTTTCTCAGAGCTGTTTAAGTTTTAATTATCTTCCAACTGTCTGAGCTGCTGTTGAGGATCTCTGAGAGAACAAAGGCCGGCTGCGAGATTTTTCAGCAGTGCTCCTCTCTGCACACTGATGAAGTCACTAGCTGCCACTGCCCTTATTATCAGGTTAAATCAGAGTCTGACTGTGCTTTGGAGAGATGCCGAAAGGAGAAAAAATTAATCTTAAGCTCTGCCCCTTATTCAAAATCTTTTGTGGCAGAGAAAATGTGATATCCACTCCTGTTTAGGTGTTATGACCCAGAAGCAAGTCTGGCTTTGTTTTTCAAAAAAAAAAAAAAAGAAAAAGAAAGAGAGACTGGACCCTCTCCTATCCCCATCCCTTGGACTTTCAATAGTGCAGGTAATAACTTCTCTTCTGCCTCAGGGATGCTCCATTGTGAGCACCATGAAAGAAACATGCTTGTCATCAGAGATGGTACCTGTGCTGGTCCCTCTCCCTCTAGGCACTGCTCATGGGTCCAGGCCTCTGAGTTCTCAGTGTAGAGCTCCAGGTACCCCTGCCAGTCACTGAAGTTGGGGGATTAGTGGAAGCCTGTTTCCCACCTTCTAGCACAGACCTTTAGTGAAGAACAGAGTCCTGTGCTAAACAACACCCTGCTGAGAAAGAGGAGTGTGGTGTTTTTCTTGTGACTTGGTTACCGTTTTTTTTTTTTTTTTTTTTAATGTATTTGAATAAGGACTTCATGCCATTTTTGTGAATTATGCTATAATTTTGTGGAGACTTTGAAAGTATTGTAGAACCAGAATAATTAAACTTGTTATGAGCATTACGTGTAACAGGCTAATCAAGAAGTGTGATGTACAGTGGCGAATTGCTAATTTGACCTGAGGATTATGCGGCAGAGATATCATTATCTTCATTTATATAGAACTTTCTATCTGGAGGCATCTCTCAGTGCTCTTCGAACCATATACATTATCTTGTTTGTTATCATAAGCACCATCATTAAAGCTGTAAAATGTATTCCAGGACAGTCTTTTGTTTGCAGTGTCTTACAATTGGAAGATGAGGGAGGGAGGGAGAGGTTGTATATTTTCTCTTATTTTTGGTATTTGCACCAGGGTTAAGTTTATCTAAAGTTGGAGAACATGGTACCATGTAATGTTTTAAAAAGAAGGGGTGGGGGGGACATTACTGCATTCCCTTAGGTCAGCGTGGAGTCTTAACCTTAAGAACTGCCAACGAGGAAGGCTCTGATCTATCTGTCATTTCCTGGCTCCTCTACCTTGTACAATGTTAGGAGAGCTGCCTCTCCTGTGGTGGAGACTCAACCTAGGGAACAGGAAAGTGATCTGATCAAATTCCCCAAACCACATTCCCTCCATTCCCTCCATTCCCTCCAAGGTTGCAGACAGCAGCACTCAGGCTGTCACGACCATGAGCACCTGAAAGTGCTATGCTGTTTGAGTTCCTGCAGTTTTAAGGAAATGGACAAAATTAGATCCAGGCCACTGTTCCAGGCTTAACACACCCCTTCCCTTCCAGAAAGTCCGTAGAGACCTGTCACCACCAGCAGTAGAGAACAGCACAATTCCTGTTCTACACAGACCACTTAGAACTTATTTTACACGAACCTCACCTACCCACCCAAACCCAGTAACATCAGTACCTTCTATCTGCCTTGAGGGCTCGAGGGAACAGATCGGGGCCAGCCTCCTGCTTAGCCAGAGGGCTCTGATGAGTGCAGCAGTTGTGGTGACTCTCCACACAGGAAGGATGGTGTCTCCCTGCAGTGGGCATGCCCGGGAGATAGCATTCATATGGGTTATGAAGATGAGTGGCCAGCTCATGTCAAGGAGCAGATGGCTAAATGAGGTGTACTGGGAATGCTGTGAGATTCATGCTTGAAGGAACAGGAGGGAAGATAGCTTATGAGATAAAAACCCCAAATACAGTCTCCTTAATGTGAATATTTTAAATTGGCATTTACATTATACAGTTAACTTGGAGTGATGAGAAATGTAAGGGAATTACCGAATTAGTGAACAGCGATTAACTCAGAAGTAAAATTATATCATCTAAGTCGAAGGTTGTTTTACACAGCAGAGGAAGGATATTACTAAAACCTTGCCCGGTCTGTCATCGCCTAATTGAAATGTGTTCATTTAATATGCCCCATCCTTCAGAGTGCATAGCTCATAATTTGGGAGAGTGCTATCACTTAATCTAGTTATTTTTCCTGGTTCTTCCTTTGAATCCCGGTAAGACAGTGTGTGGCACATTCCCCAGGGATTTGTGTGACACTCAGAAGAATGAGTTTGTCTGTTCATTAACCTGTGAACTGGCGGGTCCCTTTGGAGAGTGAAAGGAACAAGTCACTCCAAGGTTAATGCTTGTTTGTCGGAGGTGAAGCCTCCAGGGAGACGCAGAGGGTGAGCAGGCCGGGATGCTCAAGGACTGCCCCATGAAACTCTGCACTGTGTCCGGATGCCAGATCCATGTGGCCAGGAGGGAGACTGCCGAGCAGGCTGGGTCACCTCTGTGGATCACTTCCTCTGGTCAGGAAAAGGCTCCCCAGCAGTCAAGTGGGGTGGGGTGGGGTCTGGCGTAAGTATATAGGGTTAACTTTCTACAAGGATCTAGGAGCAGTGTTGAAATATAAGAAACTGTGAACAGTTTCGGTGGATCTGTCTTTTACACAAGAAGGCAATATTGATTTCATGCATTTGCCTCCAATGGCTGAAATCTTTCCTTGAGTTGGAAAACATTTGATTTTGCGAGTGTTTGTGCACCTGTGCACAGGCACATTCCTAACCACAAGACGAAGGTAGAAGCGGTTCGTTATTCTCCAGTGTAAATGCCTCATGGACATGCAATTATACTGACATTCAGGGGTTGAGCTTGAACAGCACCTGGTCTGAATTTCTAGGTAAATCAAATCTAAGTTCTGCTTAGTTCTCTGGAAAGTGGTATGTCCCTAGTTTTGCCGTAATTCTTCTAGGCTCAGTTGGAGCTAGCCCTAAGGAGCAGGTAGAGGGTCTGAAGTCAAGTTCAAAGTCTGCTTCAGTCCTAGCACACTGTATGTGTACAAAATGTACTTTATTCTGTTGTCTCTGGATTGGTTGTGATAGAAGCTTGTTTTCTTCAACAGATTTTCTTTTTACCCCCAGGTATATTCGAATAGTTGGGACTCACAACACAGTGAACAAGATTTTTCACATTGTGGCTTTTGAATGTATGTTTACAAACAAAACCTTCACTCTTGAGAAGGGGCTGATAGGTAAGTATCACAATTACATTTTTGTATATATGCTTAGATATTTTATCTTCAAATATTTTGCTATCTCATTAACTCATCTTAACCCACCTCTTAATCAGCTTTTGACTAAAAATTGGTTGATTTGAATGCCTTATGGCTGAGTAATATAGAAGAAGTCTTATATTTTTAGAAGTAGTCAAAATAATAATAACCTTAAAAAATATAAATATTGCACTAGGAGTTAAGAATTGATAATGTTCTAGTGATGCATTCAGACTTGCTATGTGAGGAATGCTTATGATAGTCAGGCAAAGCCTTTTACACCAAAGGCTTTTCTATTTTTAATGGTAGGTAGGATCACGGAGGAAGTCTGTAGAATATTGATCCAACGCTCATGCTTTCCAAGGCTATGGAAGCATTTTGGCCTTTAATTGGATATGAATGCTGTGCTCACTGTGAGAGTATCTTCTTTTCATGGACACATCAGTCCATGTTTGCACTGTTTAGCCAAGCTCACGTCCAGAAAATGCCTGCCTGTAATTTAAATAAGACCGGAGTAACTGAATTGTCATTGTGAAAGTCAGGTTATCTTGTGGGAAATACTGTCTGACTGATCTTTCAGAAGAGTATTTTTAGTTGCTATTTGGTTGTGTTCTGTTGTGTTTTGTTTTTGTTTTAGATAATACTTAGCGTGGCATTGTTTACAGCCCATCCCAGGTCTTGGCACCCTAGATAGCGCGAGCCATGCCCCTGGCTTTTTATACACGTGCTGCAGAGATCCTAGTTTGACTGACTAGTGCCTCAGATCTGTGTCTTTACTGCAGCTTCTTTGGAAAGGGACTCTGTACGTTCAGGTGCCCTTGCCTTGCTATTTCTAAAATAGAATTCTGTGCCTTTATAAAGGGATCCACGTCTTCTCTCCTTCTGAGGTCCCCTCCATCTGGGACGTAACATACGGACACACGTCCTGAAAACATGGTGATGACCAGAACAGGAAAGATGAGTGTAACTTGTAAATGTTTCCTAACTCTTGGGAAGGTCCTAAGTCTAAATTTCCTTAATACCTGCTGTGTCCTAAATGTAATCCTTTACTTAGGGAAGTTTGGAAGACTAATATTAATAGTGTAGCAGGAGTAGAAATTATTCCAATGTGTAGAGAACATTTAGGGCTCAACTAAGATAAATAATTTGGTATTACCTTTGTTGTGCATGTAACTTTTAATATTAAATACAAATGTTAATCATTGTGGCGACTTGTAAGTAATTTGAAAGTCAACAATGCTGAAACATTTCCTGGTATTGTTAAGGCTTTTAATTCTGTGGGCTGTATGGAATTGTGGTGATGAATGGTTGCAAGGAGGGCGCATGTTTTCACCTGCTACCCATGTTCTGTTATATGTGGGCCCCACTGTGCATGTGATTGTGTAGTTAGGGGTGTCCTTACCGAGAAGGATCTTAGAAACCCAACCAACCTTCCTAGTCCTGGCGTGCACACCACTTGGCCACCCATCTCGACCCCGTGCACTGCGTTCTTGAACATGCTGCATAGCAGGCACCCTCTACTTCAATCAGTCTCCCCTTCTTATTGGAGGAAGAACAGGTTTGTGGACACAGTAATTATCCAAGAAGCAGATCTGTGTGGCATGAGAATCCATTACAGGATGAAACTCAGGATCAGTGGTGGTGAGGGATGTTGTTGTTGGTCTGCATTTTTTGTCCAAAGCGAACTAGTCAGCATTATCAGAAGCCATAATGGTCTCAGACATGTCAGGGGATGAAAGAAGATTGCAGAGATGCAGGAAGTGTGTTTGGTTTCTGGTCAAACACTTTTCTTCGAGCCCTTTTCTCTGATGCTCATGAGTTTGACTGCAGAGAGCACTGCAATCATCTGCCTGTCACCGTCCCTCAACTGAATGGGAGCAGTGGGGCAGGTTGGCAGGTATGTACGTGCACTTGGTGGTGGATGGCCTGCGGTGGGATCCCGTCTGGCCCTCCTCCTGCCATCCTCACAGCTCAAGCCGTCCCCACGCTGGGCAGACAGGGAGGCGGTGTGAGTCGTACGGGAGTGCAGGGGGATTGCATTATCCTTGTCTGACATGGCAGCGCTGCTTAGTTTAAAGGGGCGTTTGAAATAGCAATGGCCAACTTTCCACATTGATGATCTCAGGTGCATTTTGGCTGCACGCAGGCCTCAGCCAGCCGCCCGTCAGGGGCCTCCAAGAAGGGAGGGAGTGGTTCTCCAATGGGGGCACAGTGTACGTCAGAATCATCTGGAGTCACTTCTAGATGGAGCTGCCTGCCATTTACTCCTTCCTGTGCCCTGTGAAGTACACACTTCTTCCTTGAGAACCACTGCTACACTCCCGGCTTTCAGGGAGGAAAAAAGTAAAAAGTAACATAATATCGTCATGAATGACTAGTAGGGTATCAGACCCTCCTTTTACGGTTTAAGATTCAGAACGTCTCTCTTTCACAGCTCCTGATCTTTGTTTCATAGTTTCCGCTACTCCCATTGGGGCAGTACTCTCCTTGTAGGCCTCAAGATTACTTTAAACATATTTGTGTTGGTTTTTTCTTTTAATCAGATTTTAGGATCATTTCTTACAACATACCATGATGCCAGGAAAAAGTAAGCTTTGTGTGGTTAAAACCTGTTTCCCAGCAGAGAGTTTCTTGCATGTCCATCCCTCACACATCTTCACTTGTGCAGATTTGTGGGGAAATCCCTGGGAACAGGCCCTACCTCGACCACACTGACCAGATCTGGTGTCAGCCTCTCCCAGCTCATCGGCTGCTGGCCCCACAACCCCTTCTCATTTGGTGTCTGCTTCTGGATCGCGCTGGGATGTGTCCTCGCCTGCGAGGGTCAGCCTGTGATGACCATCTCCTCTTTGTTAGGAGGTGTTGATAGAACTCTAACCTTCTGACCCGTGAGGCATGGAAGGAATAATTAGAATAGATATGACCACTATTTTACAAGCATTCAACCTCCCAAAGAAGGTATTTGCTTTGCCTTAGCACTCCACCTTGTGATACACAATGGCATTTGCCAAGTCCTTGTACTTTTTCATAATAATTGCCAAAGCTTCCTTTCATTTAATCTTGCATTTAAATTCACTTACAGACAACCTACTTTTGTCTGTCTGCTGCCCACTTCCTGTCTGTCATATTATTTTGACACCAGTCCCAGACATTTTATCATCTTAGACATAAATATTTCAGTATGTTGTCTCTAAAAAGTAAGACCCCCTTTTTTTGTACCCATAATGACGATGTCATTATAATATCCCCAAATTGAACTGTAACTTTTTATTGTATTGTTTTTTAAGTTTATTTATTTATTTATTTTTAATTTTTATTTACTTTTTGAGAGAGAGAGAGAAAGAGAGAGAGAGCGCAAGCATGAGTGGAGGAGGGGCAGAGAGAGAGAGAGAGACAGAATCCGAAGCAGGCTCCAGGCTCTGAGCTGTCAGCACAGAGCCTGACGCGGGGCTCAAACTCACAGACTGTGAGATCATGACCTGAGCTGAAGTCGGACGCTCAACCGACTGAGCCACCCAGGTGCCCCTATTTATTTATTTATTTTGAGAGAGAGCGTGCACACACAAGCATGCGAGGGAGGGCAGAAAGAGAGAGAGAGAGAGAGAGAGAGAGAGAGAGAGAGAGAGAGAGAGAGAATCCCAAGCAGGCCCCACGCTGTCAGTGCAGAGCCCAACAGGGGGCTCAAACCAACAAATCTTGAGATCATGATCTGAACCAAAATCAAAACTCAGACACTCACCCGACTGAGCCACCCAGGTGCTCCAGGATATTTAATACTCATAAAAAGTTACAGTTCAAGAGTGACTCTTGATTTCGGCTCAGGTCATGACCTCACGGTTCATGAGTTTGAGCCCTGTGTCAGGTTCTGCGCTGACAGTGAGGAGCCTACTTGGGATTCTCTCTCTTTGCCTCTCTCTCTCTCTCTCTCTCTCTCTCTCTCTCTCTCTCTCTCTCAAAAAAACATTAAAAAAAATATTTCTAGTCAGTGTTCAGATGCCCCTAATTGGATCAAAGTCTAGAGTGAGTTTATGTGCTTTTACAGGTTATTTAAATCAGAATTCAGATAAGGTCCATACTATCAATAAACAGTATGACTCTTAAGTCTCTTTAAATCTGTAGGTTTCCTTCCACATTTCTGTCCATCTCTTTCTCTCTTGTTTTTCTCTCTATTAATTTATTTGTTGAAGAAACTAGGTTTTTGTCCTGTAGAGTTTCTAACAGCTAGATTTGGGTGATTAAATCCCCATGGTAACATTGTCATTTTTTTTTTTTGTGGTATTTTTTGTAACTTAGTAGTTAGATAGAGACTTAATCTGATTCAGGTTCTGGGGGGGTTGGTTTTGTTTTGTTTTTTGTAAAAATGCTGTGTAGGTGGTAGTATATATATGTTTATTAAGAAACACAGAAAATCTTTGATTGTCTCTCTCTTTTGGATGTTCCCCTTCATTCATGATTGTTTCCTGGATTCATTATTTCATAATTTGGAATTGCAAAATGATTATTTTCTTATTGTATCCTTCCTTCTTTATTTAGTGGCTAGGAAGAGAAAAATTTCCTCGACGCTTAGTTGATAATTCTGAGATGCAATTTGCCAGGGAAAAGAAGGGTAAAGGTCACACCCTTTCTATGTATTTGCCATTTTCAGGTAGGTGGTTACCTGCCATCTTACACATGGGGCCACTGAGAATTGTTGGTGGGGACTGTTGGCAGGGGAAGGGAGAGGAATACACATCATTTTCAATTTATGGGATTAAACAAATTGAACACCTTTTGATCACTTGAAGTTACTGTTATTGACATTCAAGTTGTCCCTTCTTTAGCCTTTCCATACTGGCTCTTGAGTCCTTCTGACATGGCCTCCATAGTCCTTAATAATTCCTTGATTTCTGGCAGGACGTGACATCCTGGGTTCGTTTTGCACAGTTCCTGCCCCGATCTGGAATCAGCCATTTCTGCAAGAAGCCCTGCTTCCTTTCAGT